TGATCTCACGAACATAACCGGTGTGTCAACAATCACCTACACACTCTGTCTCAAATATCAACTCGAAGAGAACGTCCGAGTGACTAAGGTTTGGAAACGATTCCTCTTATTCATGTCTTTTAGTTGGGTAAGGCAATATCAACGCTCGAGTGTGTACTTATTGTCGTCGCAGTCGGTCGGTGAGTATCAGGAGAGCCGGGTGAGCCCTCCTCCCGCTCCCTTTTCTCCCAATAGGGATCGGTTAGTGATCGACTCACGGAAGAAGAGCCCTAGGTGAGAATCGAGAATTGGTGACATCCCGCTCCTCTTGACTCCTTCCCGAATGATTGCGACGATATGAACTGAACACAGATCAGCTTACTCGGGTTTTGACGTGGCTTTTGTTCGCTGCGGACGCTGAGGTTTGTCGAGGGTGCTGGATTCGGAACGGCGCTGCCCTGGAAAACTATAGCACTATGGGCGGGAAACCGTCTGGCGCTGCACCAGACCCGGCTCTCCTCACACGCCCCAGCGTCCGCAGATAACCGGACTGTACATAGGCCTAAGCTAATTGTAAGTATGTAGATTCTATTCACATTCTATCGCAGGTGTCCTCCCTGGATGACTGCTCTCGCGGTGTTCCAGCCCAACCATTCTGAGTCACCTTGTTGGGGTGAGGTCCAACATCTGCAACAGTTTCCTCACTTCCCATTATGAATGTGGTCTCTAATATCTGCTGAGTTTTGTCAAAGAAGGTTCTATGTATGATATTCAGATGTTAGTCCAGCTTTCTGTGGGTTATTCGATGTGGGGATTTCTTGGTACTTGCTTGTTTATCTTGGCCTTTTTACTATTTGACGCAGCTCATCCGCTTGGACACTTATTTTATGCACTCTTCAACAACTACATTGCTCTGTAAGTTCTGTTTCTTGCTGGACCGGAGAGACGCTCTGTAGGGTGTTGCACACAGTGCACATAATTTTCTTGTGAGAGATTTTTGCCGAGCTCCTACCTCAATTTTCTTGCAGTACGAGTAGGGCACTTTCGCAACCTGGACGGCTTACCTACCGTCTTACCTACACAAATCGCCGTCGGGTGAGGGGAAAAGGGGTCGGGATAGCAGCTTCCCTCCCCCCCCCCCCCACCTTTTCTGCAGCGGCCAAATACGCCACCAACTGTGGTTTACCCGAAGATGATTGCTCTGGATGTACTCTGGTGCACGACGCTCTAAAACTGAATAAAAATGATTAGTAGTTGTTGAGTCTTTTCTGGATTTCACTGTTGCGAGCGAAGACCTCAGCAAGCGCTCCGGAGCGTGCTTCACCAACTACTTCCATCTTTTCGTGTAACTTCAAGATTAGAAAAATTAGAAGCCTTCGAGGAGAGCAGCGCAAAGCTCAACAGTTCGTTTCATAAGGGTTACACAACAAGCGATTACTTGAGGACAGAATCTACGCTGGTCGTGTTGGTGGAGAGCCTGCGTGTTCTTGTGATTTCTTCATTGGTGCTCCGCTCCTTTGCAAGAGACGAGAATGTGAAAAAAGAGTGGTTCGAGGAAGCCTCCCCTTCCCAGGAAGCCTTCTGGGGGTAGTTCGGCTTGGTGGGTGTTTAGTTCTTCACTGGGCCGCACTGATCATAGGCGACCCATGTGGACACCTGTACACTCTTATAAAGCAACAGGAGGAGCTCGCTCATACTTGACGAGAGCTTACGAATCCCAGCATAGTAAGACGTGCAAGTTAGCAGGAGCCAGTGAGAGAGGCCAGCTAACTAGATGAACGTCCCAACCCCACCCCCTCTCCAAACAGAGGAAGTAGCATGCACTGACGGACCCTTAGAGGGAAGAGGGGCCCAACGGCGTGGAAACCTCTAGGGACTGCTCGCCCAATGCTATACCTCAACATTGAATGATATACAATTCGAAAATTTCTCGTCACCCTGAACTTTTTTATCTCCTACAGTCTGCTAAGCTCAATAGCCCAGCCCATACTCGGTCTTACATATACTAACTTTTCAACGTGATCGTTCAATTTCAGATCCTTCACAGTTCTCGTCTGGTGGTTGTTATGGATGCTTGGTGAGCTGCGTCGACTGTTGGGTGTTTGTCTCCCATCGTGCTGCTTTTCCTACAAAATTGACTCGCAGCGACCTTCCGAAGTCTCGGAAGAAAACGCTAGCCGAATGGATGAGTATTTCAGTCGGTTGAGTTCGGTATGGGCTCTGTAACTCAGCGGAATGCCCTGTTCACCAATATGGAGCAAATTTTTAGAAAGTGATTATTACTCATTATTATTATTGATGATAAACATAAAATATATTATATTACCAAAACATTATTACTTGCTATTCAGTGTTGTACGTGGTATACTGCTAACAACTGAGTGAAATAAAACCAATTCCCGAGCTCTGTTGAAGGGCCCAGTTCGCTCCAGTTTGGGGCTATCGGATTTTCCAGAACTAGTGCAAACATGTGTACGAAGGCTGTTCGTGTCCTACTTATGGATATGACATTCAGTTCTTATGCTGGGTCAAGTTCAGTAGGTGTCAATATGAGTCTGGTTTTTTCATGAAAGTAGCATTTTTTTATGAAAGTGGTCAACATCTGCCCATCTCCGTCCTGTCCCTCCTCCAGTTTCTGCTTTCGGGCGCCTGCAGAACAAAATGCACAGCTCATTGGGTGGACTGAAGTTTCGACAGTGCGTTATGAGTGTTCTGGGGCGACCGGTAGCTCACAATTCTACAAGGACATCGACGTGAAAAGAGGGGTTCAAGAGAGGGGAGAGGGGAAGATCGACGGCTCCCAGCTACATCATCTTCGCTTTGGATGACGTCGTGGTGATAACACCAGACATTGAGCAAGCGGAACAGATGCTGGCTGATTTCGACTGCGCGTGTGGAAAAATCGGTTGCAGCTGAATGTAACGAAGACGATGTGTATAAGGAGCAGACTGGTTTCCGATGCCCCATTCTCGCTCAACGAACATCTGTGAATGCCCAGGCTATGTGTACCTGGGTCGTGAAATCAATATGATGAACGACTTAGCACCAGAGCTGAGCAGGAGGAAGCGAGGGCATTGGGGAGCTTTTGAGATCATCGAGGAGTAGCGAAAAAGACGAAGAACCCCAGGCTCTGTGCCCAAGTTCTTGATTACGCGATGACGCCTCCCCTAACATACACCTCGAAGACTTGGACTCTTCGGAAGCAGCATGAACTTGCATTCAACGCGCCATCGAAAGAGCGATGCTCAGTGTAACCCGCTATACGGAGCTCCGCAGTCCGCCGACGATCGAAGATCAGAGACTCCGCGTTCGCCAGTTTTCGAAGACTCGAGATCAGGTGAGCCGAGCACGTCTGCGTTCCGAAGACGACCGCTGGACCAGAGTAGGTACGAATTGAGTTCCAAGGGATGCCAGATGTACACCTGGACCACCACCTCAGATTCCTTCGCGAAAACTCTGACGGAATAGTATGACGGTCTTGCGTCCCTCGCGCACAGAGAACCCTTTGGGCAACTCTGGCACGTTGCAGGGACGAACAGTGACGTCACTGGCGCCTACTTGTGGAACTCTATAACCACGGGAGCGCAGGTGATACAGGTGATCTTTGTCCCAATAGCTGTTCTCTACAGTAAGCAACATCAATTTGTTTTCGCACTGTCAATCCTCCAGTTTCTGTTTGCAAACATTCTATGCCCGTAGGACATAATCATCATTATCATCATCCTCGGGTCACATCGTGGACCTAAAGTTCCCGACATTGATTCACGGGTGTAAAGGCGATCAAACCCGGACATAGCTGTGTATTCTGTTATAAGCCAGTGCACAGTTCGCCCCTACGCTTCTTACTAATAGGGTTGTTTATGGAAGCGAGTAATGAAGTCTTTGCAAAGCAGGAGCTCTGCTGGGTTTCAATACCAATATTCATATCAATATTCAGTGTAAACATTGAAAGAGATTTATTACCAATGGGCATCAACAGCATTTGGGCGAAGTGCCAAGAGCGCATAGAGGGTTGTGACCATTCAGTTGAAAATAATTGTGAACGAGCGATAGTCCCCAGTTGTTTTAAGATTTCGAAACCTCGTCCTAGATCGAAGCCCGCCTGTGGTAATCACCGAGAATTCAGAAATGTCACACTGAAT